CCCTTCAACGAGTATGTATCTACCCCTATGCTCATTTTTCTGCCAGCCCTGGCCCTGTCAGTGTGTTGTCCTCTAAAACAGGTGCTGCCTGGTCTCTGCCCCAGCCCTGGCATGAAGAAAGCCCTGTCCATCCCTGCTCCCCAGCCCTGCAGGGGCCGGGGCTGCCCCGTACCCCCTGTCATTTCATTGCCAAGCCCTTCTCCATACTGTAAAGAAAAACAAATAAATTTTTCATCTTGGGTATGAATTATTTTCTGGTGTCGATCTTGGTGCTGCTTTCAATAAATAGCCTTTGCCTGGGCAACCACAGCAGGGCCAGGGGTTGCCTTTATTTCTTCTCCCCTCCTCCCCAGCCCTGTGCAGGCAGCAGAGCCCCCCCCCTGCCTGTCCTGCGGCTCCCCACCTGATCAGCTGCTTGGAAACACAGACTCTGGTGTTTGCACAACAGCCGGGGAGCGGCATGGGCTACCATTAGCCTTGCAAAGCTGCCCTGCCCTCTTCGCCAGCCACAGCTCACTCAGCAGCTCCGGTTCGCCAGCCACCGCTCGCTCAGCAGCTCCAGTTCACGGACCAAGCAACAGCTTGGAGTGAAAGGCAGGGCTGGCTCTGGGGGGAGGTGTACCGGTGTCCCCATCAACTCTGGGAACCCCAAATGGGGTGCTTGGGTGGGTTCTGCCAGCCCCATCTCCAAGCGTCTCCATCCCCCAGCATGGTCCTACACCACCCATGTGCTGTACTCACGGTCCCTCTATGCGTGGGGGATCATGGGTGGGCTGGGGGAGTTTCAAGACACCCTCTTTTCCCAGCATCGCTCCCACCCTGGCTTCAGCACCAGCCAGTTATCCCACCTTGAGCATCCACTCGCTGTGCCTCAGTTTCCCCATTTCAAAAGCAAGGCCAAGGCAGCTGGTTTGGGGAGGCGGATGCTCTCGAGGGATGCTTCACCCTATTTTTGACACGTGGCCCCCCACTTCCCCTATTGTGCGGCAGAGTGCGAGGGTGGTGGCGGTGAAGGACAGGGCGACCAGCAGCGGGGCAGGAGGCCAGCGTGCAAACAGCCGCCCGCCATGCCGCCTCCGTGCCTGCCACAGCTGCCCCTTATCAGCTCCTGCACCAGGTACGGGGCTGTGCTGGGCACCACGGCGGCCCCTCTGAGTCCAGCAGCTCCATGGCACCATCCGGCACCCAGCACGCCTGCGGGAACAGCCGGGTGGCAGCGAGACAGACGTAGGGACCCGATCCCCACCCCAGGGTGACTCAGGCCCGGGGACGTAGGTTCTGGCCCTGCCCCACGGTGAGGCATGGGTGGAAGCTGCCAGAAAACGACCTTCTGCTCCTCGCTTAATGGGTGAAGGTCTCAGTTCCACCATAAACCAGTGATCTCATGGGTGACGTCAGGGCTTTTATTCCTCTCTTACCTCTCTGAGCACAAGAGCCGCTTGAACCCTGGCACTGCCCAGCGCCCTTCCCAGAGGTGTTATGGTGCCCGGGAGCCACGCTGGTGCCAAATGGCTCCGAGCACTGCCAGCTGGCACCAAGCCGGGCGCCGCTGGGCACGCCTGGCCCGGCTGTGTCCCCCTCTGCTCCCCCTTTTGGGGGCTGATTTGTGAAGCTGGCTCTTTTGCCATGAGCCCTGCGGGCTCGGGGGCGATGCCCAGCTGGCCGGGGGCTCCCAGCTTCACACCTCTTCCCTGCCGCAGGGTTTCACCGGGACAGGATGAACAGTTTCTGTGGCGCTGAGTTTTGGCAAGAACTCTGCAACCACCAGCTTAGTTCCTCCCCTCCGCTCGCTGGGAAACCCGAAGGACCAGTTTTTCCTCCCGGATTTGGTTCCTCTCCGTCACCCTTCCTGGCTCTCGGCTCCCCCGTGGCAGCCGAAGGGCAGCGGGGGGTCAGCCAGGCCGGTGCAGCCTCCCCAGTTGTGGCCCTGCTCTTTGCTTCCCACTGCTCAGGCATTGCCGGAGCTTCTGGGATCCCCAGAGGAGACCCCATCCCAGCTGGTCCCCCCACCAGCCCCAGGACATGCCCCAGCCCACCACCCCATCCCCACCAACCTACATGGGTGCCGCCAGACACCTCTGAACCTTGTAACCCTTAGACTTGCCTGGTTCCCGCGGACTTGCACCCCGGGGTGCCTGGCAGCACCCCAAAAGCTGATAGTTGTGCCATCGGAGGGTGAGGCCAAGAAGTCCCCAGGGGCACGTGGTAGCAAATAGAAACTTCCTTATTGCCTCCAGGAAGGCGTCCTTGGGCCGAAGGTTCTCGAGCAGCTGTTGGGGTGTGTGCCAGGGTGGGGGTTCCTCTTTTCCATCCGTCACACAGGGTGGGGGAAAGTGAGAGGGTAAAGTATCCCCGGCT